GAACTCAAGTTACCATTTCATGCCTAATGTCATCAGAATTTGAAGTTTATGGCCACCGCTCAGTTCCTCTGTTTCCATCTTCATCCTCAGGTAAACCCACCTCATCCTCTTTTCACCCTTTTCATTTCCATTTTTCACCATTTTTCCTCTCGCTTTCCCAGATTACCCCGCCGCTACTATCTAAACGTATCACCAACAGATTTTGGAATTCTAACACCGATTCAACCAATAATCAAACTCCTCATTTTCTCAAAATGCAATTGCAACTAAATTCATCTTCAAATTCAACTCCAGTTCCTATCTCTGAATCTCAACGCAACAAAATTCCACACGTACTCACTGTTGCCGGTTCTGATTCCGGTTCCGGTGCCGGAATTCAAGCTGATCTCAAAACTTGTGCTTCTCGCCGTGTTTACTGTTCCACTGTTATTACGGCTGTTACTGCACAGAACACTCTCGGAGTTCAGGTTGCTTCTCTTTCTCACCAATTCTTTTTTTTTTCTTTTTCATTATTATAATTATTCATTTTCTATTGCAATTGTTAGGGTGTTAACGTGGTGCCTGAAGATTTTGTTGCACAACAGTTAAACTCTGTGCTATCTGATATGAATGTTGATGTGGTTAGTCTTCAATTATTTTCTGTTCTGCATTGATGCACCATTGATATATTGGTTAACACCTATGAGGCACGGACCCCGGAAACACTTACGCTGACGTGTCAACACCATAACTGACACTGATAGTGTGGTTTTGGACACCGGCTCTAACATTGACACGCTTATTTTCAGAGAGGTGTTGGTGCTTTATAGGTTAACACTGGTCAATAATAGTTTTCCCTTCTCTGAATGAGTTATGCTATTTCTCTAGGTCAAAACAGGCATGCTACCCTCTCTTAATGTGGTGAAGGTCCTTTGTCAGAGTCTTAGGAAGTTTCCTGTCAAAGGTATTCACTTGTACAAGAATTTCTAACATGTTTATTCATTTGCAAATTTGCAATCGGAGTGACTTATGTACTGGATTTGTTTTTGTTGAAGGAAGCTCTTGTGGTTGATCCTGTAATGGTATCTACTAGTGGAGACATACTTGCTGGTCCTTCTGTTCTTGCTGGATTTCGGTATGAACTTTTGATTTTGAACATGAATTATGCTGCATCTGTATGGCACCAAAATATTTTTTTATACTCTTCAGTCTTTATGATAGAGACATGGGTCCAAATGTGAAGCTGAAAGTGTGGAGGGACTATGTGAGGAAGAATAAAAAAGGAAATGATGAGGTGGTGGTAACCAATGTAACCGAATCACCTAACATGTGTGTAATGGGAAACGGGAATCTATTATATGAAAGGGGGAAGAGAGGTGTATCTAGAAAGTTTGTTACATTTGTTTAGAAAGAGAGCCCTTGTTTCTCTGAAGGAGCACTGCTCTTGGTAGCTTGGGAATATTCATTCCCTTGCACTCCCCATTGCACTCCATTATTGTTTCTGTATTTTACCGGGTCTTATATTTACCTATTACTTTACATGATTCAAATACTATTCACTATCCGAGATCCTCTAATTGTGTTGTCTTATGCATAGTTTTTTTTCCCAACAGTCTCTGTCTGATGGTTTTATTGTTATTAATCGAACACTATAATATTATGTTTAAAAGTTAGTTTTATTTTCATCCTTGTTTGTACAAAAGGATACATGGATATTTGATAGAAATAATTTTGTAAAATTATTCAAGTTTATCAATAAAACTGTAGACTATTATTTGTGCTTATTCCTTTGTTTCTGAATGCAGGGAGGAGCTGCTTCCCATGGCTGATATTGTAACTCCAAATGTTAAAGAGGCGTCAGCTTTACTTGGTGATGTGCCAATGAAGTCAGTTTCTGACATGCGTACTGCTGCAAAATTGTTACATGATTTGGGTCCTAGGTTCGTTGCTATTTAATATATTGTAGTTTTTGGTTGTAGTCAATTTAAATCATGTTTTATAATTATTAGAGAAGCCTCTCCAACGAAAAGCACTACATTTTATACAAATCTCATAGAAAGCGTAAGTTCTAATGATAAAGTTTGATAATCTCTAGGAACTATTGTGATTGATTGACTCAATATCTACCATGGTCCTATTGACCTGAGCAGTGCTTTTAAAGTGTTGTTTATATTGACCCACTCATAGTGCACTGCTGAATTGTTTTCCCTGATGTAATGGGGCCCACTAACTGTGTTTGCTTTACATTAGCAGACATTTCTGGTGGTGTTGTATGTTCAACTGTGATTGACTTTATGAACAGATGCCAAAATTAAAATTTTTAAAACTCCCAACATGAGAGTAATATGCTTTTACATATAATCATTTTTCATTGCAGGAATGTACTTGTCAAAGGTGGTGATCTCCCTAATTCTTCAGATGCTATTGATGTATTTTTTGATGGTAAGATCTCCCTAAAGTCTTCAATTCTTGAAGACACAATAGCCAAACAAAATCTCAGTAACATAAACTTTTCTCTTTTACTATTTGTTATGAATATCCAAATCTATGTTAAAAATGAACTCCATTTCTCGGTCTTGCGTTTTGCAGGCCAAGAATTCTACGAGCTTTCTTCACCGCGTGTAAATACTCGCAACACTCATGGAACTGGTTGTACTTTGGCATCATGCATTGCAGCAGAGCTGGCAAAAGGTTCATCGATGCTTTCAGCGGTTAAGGTTTGTTCAGCTGTCTCAATTCACATAAATACCGGAGGACCTAATTTTGAATGACCACGATTCTTCTCTCTCCTTGTTACTTTAAAAATACATTAGAGATGAGCAAATTAAAATAAAAAACAGAATGTATTATCGTTCTAACACTTATACATATCTGGACTCTGGCAGATAGCTAAACGTTTTGTTGAGTCTGCCTTGGATTACAGCAGAGACTTGGTTATAGGAAATGGAGTCCAAGGCCCTTTTGACCATTTTTTGGCATTTAAGAATATCAGTCAGAGCTCTAGTAGGCAGGATAGGTTCAATCCCAATGACTTATTTCTATACGCTGTAACGGATTCACGCATGAATAGAAAGTGGGGCCGTTCTATTGCTGAAGCAGTTAAGGCGGCTGTAGAAGGGGGTGCTACCATTGTCCAATTAAGGTTTGCTACATTTTCTTTTTATTATACTAATAGTTGTGATGCATAGTCAGTGTTTGACCTATTTTCTTCTCTTATATCCCCTCCCCCACTTTAAAAAAAAGAGCGTAGTGCAGAGTCAGATGTTCAATTTCTGGCCTAATTAGTTGAACTTCAGTTGACAATATTACACCAGGCATCTTTTACTATTACTGTGGGTCCAGATTTATTTTTTCACCTCTTTTGTAATCCCTCCATAAATTGTATGCTATATCCTACTTGTTTCTTGCTAAGGGTGCCTGTTTTATATTTCATTTGTATTACTGCATATGCATCTTGTAAGTATGTTATGCGAACTTCACTCTGGTGCTGTCTTTAACTGTTATGGTGGTACTAGTAACCGTGCTCTCATCCTCTTCCTTTGGTTTTATCTTAACTAGCCTTAACCAAACTATCTATGATGGCCATTGAACCTCATCCCTTGCTCTGAAGAATATTTCGTCTCATAGTTGAAGCAGTGTTAGATTATCGTTTAAAGGAAAACATTCTCACGTGACAGTAATTCCTTCTGTGCCTTGATTACCAAATTATTTAACTAGTGCCTAGTAATCCATATTGCTTTTTTCCCACTTGTATTGCTTTTCCAGGGAAAAGGATGTCGAGACACGGGACTTTGTTGATGCTGCCAAAGTATGCCTTGAAATATGTCGTTCGTATGGAGTACCTCTGCTTATAAATGACCGTATAGATGTGGCCCTTGCTTGTGATGCAGATGGTGTTCATATTGGTCAATCTGACATGTCTGCACGTCTAGCTAGAACTCTCCTTGGTCCTGAAAAGATAATTGGAGTATCATGCAAGACCCCAGAGCAAGCACATCAAGCATGGATAGATGGTGCTGATTACATTGGGAGTGGTGGTGTATATCCCACTAATACAAAGGCCAACAATCGTACTATAGGCTTAGACGGGTTGAGAGAGGTGTGCAAGGCCTCTAAACTGCCTGTTGTTGCAATTGGTGGCATTGGTATGTCAAATGCAGGTGCTGTAATGAAACTTGGTGTACCAAGTCTCAAAGGGGTTGCTGTTGTGTCTGCTCTATTTGATAGGGAATGCATTTTGTCCGAGACAAGAAACTTGCACGCCGTAATCAGTGAGGCAGCATTGTTGCCACAATGAACATACGGCAGTGTAAGAGGTATTTAATTTTATTAAGGGAGTGCTTAGTGAAGAGTCATAATTGTTTCCATCTTCAATAAATACAAAATTTCAAAAGATTCTTTACAGACCATGCTACACTTGTAAATGCAAATTTTGAATAAAATGAATGTGTAATGCTCAATACCCGGGCTGGACAACAACATACTTGGTTGTTCATTCGTTTGCCTTTGTTCAGTACATGCTTTATCATAGCAAGAATGCGTTTTCAGGGAATTAGTTACAAGACTACGCGCATATGTTTTGTTTTATTCATGTAGTCCCATTTGATAACATTTCAGCCAGGACAAGCACAATGCCCAATGCAACATTCGACAACAAAAAACAGTTAAGGGCTGAAAAGTGAAAACAAAACCAAATGGAAAGATAAAACAGACACAAGGATATACCAACACAATGCACCTGTCTTTTTTTTACCATACAAAACAAAAGCATAGAAATAAGAATATGACGGAGAGCATAAAAAACATAACTTAATACTTATAATATTTTCAACACTAACAAACTTGTGCAATGATTTAAATAATTTACAGCCATTATTTAAATATCATGTTCTATGAAGAAAACTGGATTTTATACATAAGAACAAAACACACCTGCCCTAACTGAACTTAACAAAAGGGCAAAGGAAACCAAGAACCTATAACTCTATGTCTCTATCTAAAAATAAACATTTTATTTGTTATTAGTTGAAATTGAATTCTCCACTTTCTTGTGCCTCCTTGACTCTCTTTTCATATTCATCTTCTTCCACCTCAGCCTCGGCTTCTTTTGTTTCGTCGTCGTCTTCTACTCCTCCCCAGCCAAACCCCCCAATTGACCTAGACACTTGAGGCAGGGATTTAGCTTCCTCAACAATATTCATAATGTCTTCAATGCTCTGAAGAGAATAAGTTGGATTTTCTTTTTTGTAGTAAACAGCTTGAGCCATTTCAGTCAATTCTCGAGGCAAGTTCTTTAAAAACCATGGATGAGACTTGATTTCCTTAATGGTGATTCTCTGCAGTAAATCAAAACACACAATAACATCTTAGTAGATAAACAATAGTAACTCTATAGTTCTGTTAAACAACATAGGCTGTGCATACCTTAGCTGGACTCGCCACAAAAATGTGAGAGAGCAGATGTTTACAATCTTCGGATATGTGAACATAATCCGGAATCTGATATTCAATAGCCAGAATTTTCTGTATATGAAAATAAGTGTCAGAAAGAATATATGTTTTATAAACCTATGTATTAAGATGATGGAAAGAAAATTACATTAATGGTTTTCCTGAAATTTTTGGGATCCTGTTGGTCCTCAAATGGGTATGCTCCCACCAGCATTACATAAAGAGTCACTCCACATGACCATACATCTGCCAACTGAACAAAGATACAAAAGCAAATTAGAAGAACTAAGAAAATTAGAACATCATTAATGCCTCAGAAACATAATAGAAGAACTAATAAGAGGAGAACATCATCAACGCCATAGAAACACAACAGAAGAACTAAGAAAATGAAAATATCATTAACATATAAAACACAAAAAACTCAAAGCAAGAGTAGTCCTTCCAGTATCGAAATAAATATCAGGAAAAGACAAAATAAACATCCATTTCTCTAAATGGCTAAAAGTGTTTGAAAACTATAAGGATTCAACATAAGGTCATAGACTGTGTCACTCACACTTTACATTCCAGATTACATGATTTGTAATTTGTTCATATTACTATGTTAGTTAAATGCGGATTTATCAAGTCATCAAATATAATTCTCATCTTTAAATATTCGCTACACATTAAGCACAAACATACTGCTTGATGGCCTCATGCCGATCGAAATTGTTAGCATCCATTTCTGAATCACCTCTGAACCATATCCCAACATATTTAGAATCCTGTTACGCGTAAGAAGCTGAATTATTTACCTTTCCGTCATATTCTCTACGTGAAAGAACCTCTGGTGCTATGTAAGCTGGAGTTCCCACTGTTGATTTAGGTCTAGAATGCAGCAGAGAGGACTATAAAAACAAAATGTTGCCAGAAGAAAACTTGTCAAGTACGACTTCATTAATTTATTCATAGCATTTGACATTGTAATCAAACCGTAATTAACCTTAGAATAACCAAAATCGCAAATTTTGAGCCGTGGGGCAGGGCTACCATCCAATAATGTGTTCTCAAGTTTCAAGTCTCGATGGCAGATTTGCTGCAAAAGAGGGACAATTACATATAAAAATAATCCCAAACAAGAATAAAAAAACAAATCATCAACATATTGGAAAAAAAATAAAATAATAATTTGTAGATTTACCATGGAATGGCAGTAGCTAACTCCTGAGATGAGCTGCTGGAAGAAATATCGAGCCTGCAAATTTAGAGGATGCATAAAGAATGAGAAACAAGTCATAGAATATTCAGAACTTGGTTGTTAAGAATGCATGAATGCCACTTTGTGCCTTTAACAAGTAGGAAAGTGGGGAGTGGTTGAGTAACTCAACTGGTTAGAGCTAAGGAAGAAATGATCTAGGTTGAAGCTCCTATGAAGGAGAGAATATTAACATAACAACTATAATATACTAACATTTGCCTATACAAAATAAACAACAACTAAGAAAGTGAAAAGAGAATAAAGAAGCTACATAGGAATGGCTATACCAATAATAGCTCAACTTTGTTACTACTTGAGTTGTTTTAACATGTATTTTTTGGGGTATAAAATGGTATTTACTTTGAAGTTGTAAAGAAATATATAAAGAGAGGTAAGGAGGGAGATGAAATGAACCTCATCTTCACTGAATCTTCCAGCAGAGACAATTCGCTCAAAGAGCTCTCCACCAGCAGCATACTCCATAACTATACCAAGATGAGTAGGAGTCAAAACCACCTGCAAAACTGAAATCTCATCTTAAACAAAACCTAAACCAAACAAAAACAAGCTAGTGTATGTTTCCATTGGGTTTTGATTTTTGAAGTTCCAAGTGTAGTTTTTATTTCAAAAATCACACAATGATTCTTACAACACACCGCAAATGCACGGGTTTTAGAAGTTCCAAGTGTAGTTTTTTTCAAAATCTCAATGGCTCACAATGATTCTTACAATGTATGTTTGGTTTAACTTTTGGAAGAGGCAAAAGCAATTCTAGAGATGTATAGATTTAGAATTGATTCTGCCTCCATAATTGATTCTACTTGAAACTATAATTTGTAGCTTTTGAATGAAAACGTGATTTTTACATCGTGTTCAACTCAACTTTGCATAAAAATTTTCAAACATAAATCACTTTACATTTAATTCACTTTTCATCCAGAATCGATTTTAGAGAATCAATTAACTGAAAATCAAATTTTTTCATAGCAGAACGAAACGTACATACAAACCTCTTTGAAGCGAATAATATTAGGATGACGAAGACTTCTATGGTTAATTATTTCCCTAGCAACATTCTCATCAATCTGATAACAACAAAATATATTATGATAGGTCAAAAAGCAAATATAAAATAAAACTATACAGCAATAATAAGAATAAAGAAAGGATAAAACAAAACACGTGCTTTGTAATATAAGAATTGAAGTTGTTAAGTCGATTTAATAATTGGATTAAAAAAAAAAGTGAAAGTGAAAGGAGTGAAGGAGTAAAACCTTGTGACCTCGTTGAATGAATTTCATGGCAACGAGTTCTTTGGTATCTTTGTGACGCATGAGTCGAGCAACGCCAAAATTCCCAGAACCTATATCCTTAACCAGCTCGTATCTCTCCATCACAGCGATTAGCTTCGATTCAAAAAGGATCTATGAGAAATTAGGTAATAGAAGAATGAAGGAATGTTTGATTGATTGCACCTTCACTTTCACGCCATCATCATTCATTCCTTTTTTCTTATCAAATTATTATTTTTTGTGTGACTTAAAATTCTCACTTAAAAAATTACCTCTCAAGTTGCAGAGTCCAGTTGCAAATTGCAAATGAACAGCGAAGAAGTGGAGTCCAGACAAGAAAGATTTCGGAATGAAATAATTTAGGGTAAGAAAATTATTTATAGATATAAAGTTTACTGCAATGAGAGCGACCCAAAATTAACTTAATCATAAAGGAAACTTGCAAGTCAAGACATACACGATCAAATTAAGGATAATGTTAGCAACGAAACATCAATTAATTAGTTAATAAATATTAATTAATATAAGGTACGTAAGTTAATTAATAATAAATAATTTTTTTAATAATTTTAAATACCAAGAAGTAAAATATTACTTATGACAAGACAAATAGAGACAAAGCAGATATGCGATGGTTCATAGACAAATCTTTTATATATAAGTATTACTAAAATGTGATATCTTATTCGTGTGAAATTTTAAAATAATTTTCATCAAAAATAAAATTTGTTTAATTATTATATGAATTTAACTAAAATGTATTGATAGAAATTTCTTTAATAATATTCATGAGCAAAAATTTAAAAATCACAAGCAATGAAATAAATTACAAATTATGTACTGTTGGACTTGGATTTTTATCCTGAATCCAAATATGCAATCAAATTTATCAACAAGTTACAGTTCATGAGAATTAGGGAAAACAGTGGACGAAATGCATAATGAAAAACCGTTCGATTTGACCAAAATACACAATTAAATGCAAAACTAATTACATATTTGTGACATCGTGAAAAACCAGTTTAAATGGTATACGAGTTTGCAATTTTTTGTCAAGATTCAAAGTTTTGCCATTTTTGTATTTATGAGCTTATGAGTATTCTTGAAATATATTGAATTTTAGAGTTTTGAAATTCAGAAATATAAGAAACAACAAGACAAAAGTCAAATCAACAACTTTCAATGCCAACTCATCTCAGTTAAATGCTACATGTGCTTTGTTTGTGCCACATATGCATTTTTGTAACGAAACTTTTTAAAAAGGGCAACGACGCAAACGTTTGTTAACATAAAAGACCAATGTGTTACAAAAAAAAAAACTTAAAGGACTAACTTATTATTTTAAAATAACTTAAAGGACTTAGATAGTATTTTTGACTTAATTAAATATATGTTTCTTGAAATTGAAAAGACTATGATAATTGGTATTAGGTTGTAAATTTGGAGTGAAATTGATTTAATTGTTTAAATATACGTGTTTAATTTTTGGGTAATGCTAACTTGTATTTAGGGACACAAGTTAGCATTATTCATTTATAAATAATTGGCTTAATACCTCTTTTAGTCTTTTAACTTCAGTCATTCTTTCACTTTGGTCCCTTAAGAAAAAAAACGTTACGTATATTAGTCCTTTCTGTTAGTTTTGGTTGGGAAAACGTTAGAAATTGCACTGCTAGACTTTAAATGGCTTAGGTGGATATTCTGTAATTATTTTAATGGATGTGGTGGATTTTGTATTACACTTAAAATTCATCTTAAGGAGATGAAACGTATTAGGGCATGCTTACATTGTTGGATGAAAGCTCAGGTTTAGAGAGCAGCTACATTGTGAACAACAACACTTGTTTGAAGATGAAGTTCATTGAAGACGACAATAACGACGTTTACGACAACAACCCTCCATTGAAGAAGAACTTCATTATTTATTTGTCTGTAGAAAAAACCCTAAGGTACAAACTTGCACAAATACGATTCAAAAAATGTTAACTTTCTTCTATACCTAACTTACTTAGTACTTCTAATACTATATGTAGGTTGATTAGGTCATAGAGAGTAGGTTTAAGTGTGTGGCTCATCATTCTAGTGAGTTTTCTAGGGAGTTTGCAAATTTTACCAAGTCAGGTTATGTAGGGTTAGAGGAGGTATGTGATGTTGATCCTGATTATTGGAGTTACTTAGAAATATTGGACAAGTTAAGAGAGTTAGGTTACCCTACTATAGATAGACTTTAGTATTATGATGACATGATTGCTAATGATATAGTTCAGTTAGAAAATGATAAGGGGATTGATAGGATGAGAACAAATGTAGTGTTAACTGGGGAATGCCATTTGTATGTTACACATTTGAACCTGATGTTTTTGAGGAGCTCATACTGTCACTATCAGATGTGAGCATATTGGGTGAAAATGTGTGTGGTGAAGGGCCTGATATGGTTAATAACTAGGATGAGACCATAATGGTTGATGATATGGTTGATGAAGTGTATGAAGGGGGGAGTAGTGAATGTGGGACCATATTGGGTGAAGATGTGGTGAAAGAGGGGACAATAGTTGATGAAGTTGAGGGGAATGTTGGGATTGAAGAGAATGTTGGAATTTAGGAAAATGTTGGTCATGTGGGGACCAACTGTGAAACTGAAGAGAATGTGGGTCAAGAGGAGACAAACTGCAACAATACGGATGATGTGGGGACCACATGTGAAATGGAGAAGAATGTGGATGTAGGGATGAATGTTAGAGCAGATGAAGTCAATGAAGGACAAAACTGTAACCAAGAACAAGATAAGGTAGTTAACTGTAACTAAGAAAACGGAAGTGATGACAGTGCTTTGAATGTTAACTTTGAAGCCTCAGAGAATGATCTAGGTGTTGATGGAAAGATAGTAATTGATGAGGATGAAGTGAATGCAACAAGTAAGGAGAAGGGAAAAGGCAACGGAAAAGGTAAAGGGAAAGGGAAGGGGAAAGGTAAAGGGAAAGGGAAAGGAAAATGGAAGGGGAAAGGAAAGGAAAAGGTCATTGTTAGGGATGTAGGTGTTGATAATGATGGTGAGGTAAATCTGGACAAATGAGAGGTTTAAATGACATTGAAAAGTATGACAGTGATAAAATGCCTATTGAGTATGATAGTGAGAATGATGAGATTGTAAAGGATGATTTTGTAACCTTTAAGCTTCCAAAAAGAATGGAAGACTGCAAATGGGAACTTGGTACATATTTTTCTACAAAGGGGGTGTTTCAAGAGGCAATAAGAACATATGCCATTCAGACAGGAAGGAACATTAAAATGGTTACTTATTTACAGGCGCGCAGGTGAATATGACTATGAGGTGAGGCATACTTCACTCAATGGAGAAAAATATACTGGCAACCTTTAAAAGAAAGAATGCTCGTGTAGACTATGGATGCTGACTGGACTTCCTTGTTGTCATACAATGTCTTGCGTGAAAGATCAACATTTGAAGATTGATTACTTTGTACCCGACTGTTACAAGAAAGAACATTATGCTGCTTGCTATGCACATGTGATATATCCACTTAATAGGGAAGCCTTGTGGGCAAATACTAGTGTTGTTGATCTTCAGCCACCACCAATAAAGAGGAAGCCTGTAAGGCCAAAGAAAAAAAGGAATAGGGAAGCTGGATAGATGGTGAGGGATGAGACACACATGAAGAGGGCAAGACATGGTATAAAGTGTATTCGTTGCCATAAGGATGGTCACAACAAGGTCACTTGTAAACTACCACAACCACAAGAACCAACAAGTCAACCGCCATCACAAACTGATTCAAGTCAACTACAAGATGCAATAAGTCAGCAATCATCAAAAGTTGTTACAAGTCAACCATCACCACCTGTTGCAACAAGTCAGCCACAATCACAAGCTGTTACAAGTCAACCACCACCACCTGTTGTTACAAGTCAACCACCACCACCACCTGTTGTTACAAGTCAGCCACCACCACAAGCTGTTACAAGTCAATCACTACCACCTATTGTTACAAGTTAGCCACCACCCAAAACTAAGAAAAAACTTCATAAGGATGACAAGCTTGTTTCAATCCAACCATGATCATTATTATTATGTCTACTAAGATTTTGTAATGTCATTTAATGGCCTGACTCTTTTATTTTTGTTAATGCATATTTTAGAATTGAACATGTTATGTAATGCCTTATAATGGGTTTTTGGTTTTGAACCTGTTATGTAATGCCTTATAATGACCTTTTGTTATTGAACCTGTTATGTATCAAACTTTGGATATGTTAATAAATGTTGGAATGACTTATGATGCCAAGTTATATTACAATTTGTTTCCACAAATATTGGTCACTGAGCTGCGTTTTTTTACAGGTTGGATATTGAGACATTATTCAATGAAAATGTGAAAATATAACACAAACATTATTCATTGAACAACGTAACAATACATTATTCATTAAACAAACTCATCAATTTGTTACAAACATAAGGTTCAACCCTAGAACTACCAACATAACAACATAACTTTGAACTACTCTAAAACTAATTGAGATACATTCTTACAAACACAAGGTTCAACCCTAAGCTTACAATTCCAACAACAATGAACATTTTGAGCCGCCCTCTAGTGTAGATAACTTCATTCTTCAATTTGTTAATTTTCTTCTTCTGTCTTTCAAGCTTCAAATCCCTTTCATCAACAAACTCATCACCCAACTACTTGAAAAAATTACAACCATTTTCACTGTGGTTTATGTAATTTCTACAACCCCATAATTTTCTCTCCTTGTTGACACTGTTCACATCATCAACTATTCTAAGAACACTTTCATCTTGGCAAAAGCACTCGATTATCTTGTTTCTACGAATCAAAGATCCAGATGTACCATAGTTATAGTTGTTTGAAATTGAGGCATTGCTTGCACTCTTTGACATTGAACCCTAATTCCCAAATTGGAGAAGAAAATGGAAGATGGTGGAAGGAAGATGGAAAAATGAGATTTAATCCTGACTTGAAGATGAAGATGGAAGAGGTTGAAAATATGGAAGACGACTGAAGAATGGTGGAAGAAGAATGAAACTGCAACCAAATGAAATTCTATGTAACATAACATATACATATGCTGATGTGAAATTCTAAATTGGCTTACTTGGCATGCCACCTCACACAAAATAACGTTTTTTGACACAAACTAACGGAAAGGACCAAAATGTTTAACGGAACTTAAATTAAAGGATCATTATGTAACGTTTTTTAGTTAAGGGACCAAAACGAAACTTCGCTCAAAGTTAAGGGACCCAGTGACTAATTATGCCTAAAAAATTTATATTGAAAACATTAATAAAAAATTAAATTTTTTATTTTTATTAAAAACAGTGCACAATTTCTACAATATTATTTTTACATTTAATTTTTAACTTGTGTTCTTAAAGCACAAGTTAACATTTCCTTTAATTTTTTTGTATGTATTAATGAAAAATAAGTGTAGCATGTTTTTTTTTAAATATTTGTCAAAAATAATTATTTATTGTATCTTTTTTTAATAAAAATACTTTATATATATATATATATATATATATATATATATATATATATATATATATATATATATATATATATATATATATATATATATATATATATATATATATATATATATATATATATATATATATATATATATATATATATATATATATATATATATATATATATATTTGATTAGAATTATTATTGATAAATATTTTTCTCATATATTTTAATTTAATTAATGATAAATATTTTCTGATATATTTTTAGTTAATCGATAATAAATATTTATCTTGGATTTTTTATTTATCAATAACAAATATGTAATGATAATATGTATCTCATGTTTTTTACGTATAAATAATAAATGTGTCTCATGTGTTTTTTATACTAACTAGAAAAAATATTTATGTTAGGTTTTATTTCATTTTATATATGACGGACAAATATTTGTTACATACTTATTTTAGAGAAATGCTAACGAGTGCCTTCAGGGCATTGGTTAAGAGATTAAAATGATAAGTTGAGTATTATTTAAGAGATTGAAAATACATTTTTATTGAGTGAACTAAATATAATATATTTTTTTTATTTGAAATTTTTAAGTAGTGTCCTGAGCGCACTGGTTAGCATGACCCTTTATTTTATGATTATTAATGACAATTATCTATTCTATATTATTTCTATAAGTGTTTTAATTTGTATATGAATGATACTAAAAGAATATTAATTTTAATCAATTCTTTAGATTTGTCAAATATATCTTAAATTTACTAAAATGATAATCTATTTACTTGATATAAATTTAAATAGAGTAATAAACAGGTATGACCACTCCTTTTAGATCTATTTTATAAAAATCGGTAATAAACAATATACTGTAATAAAAACTGTAAGTTCAAAATTTATTAATTAACTATTTTGTAAAAACATAATATTCAGAAAAGAGTAATATTTTATAATTAAAAAAAAGTAAAAAAAAAAAGTAAATTAAAAGTTGGTTTGATGGAAAGAAAATCTTTAAAAAAATAAATAATAAAAAATAATAATTAATAAAAAAAATTAATTTTACTAATTTATTAATTAAAATTTTGTGTTAAAATAATGAATCGATGAATGGATGACTGTAGTTAAAAAATATGAAATTAAAGGTTAATGTGGCGGAAAAATTCTTTTAAAACGATAATATAAAAATAACTGATAAAAAATATAATTAAATTAATTTATTAATTAGAATTTTGCATGCATGAATTTACTTGAAAATTAAATTATTCAGTATATCTTTATCAAACCCATGGCCACTGATAATTTAAAAGGATGTTTAGTCAATATTCTTCTAGCATGATGGTTGATTCAATTGTGGATTTGTACTAGCCGCATCATCTATCATTCGGTTTGAGTCTGACTAGACATAGCTAGTGGGTTCGTAAAAGAGATACAACGTGCTTCATCCATATCATTTGCTATTTCGATAATTTTTTCCCATTTTTCATCACTCCAAAATCCACTTTTCTCGATCTATAATATAACAAAGACAAATTCACCCTTTTGTCTTCTTTCTTCACTTAGGTTCATTACTGACAACTGTTTTGTCAGATGATTTCATGCTAATTATTAATTAGGTTTTGGTTAAGCATTTGATTTGCAGAGCATTTCATCACCCGTTTAAATTACAATTAATAGTCTTTGTACGCACTTCATTGGAACCGTTAGTTTGTTGAAATTTTTTTGGAAACACAACACTGCAATTCTTTTACTCAAAGCAGCGTTAGTAAATTTTATTCATTCTCAATGAGACACTGTTTGCACTCTTATTTTCAAAATACTTTTTTTTTCATCATTTCTTTTCTCCATCTCAATCCGAGTTTATTTGAATTCTTAAGTTTCCTCTTTTGTCCATCTCTTTGTTTTTCGAGAAAAAACAACTCTCAACCACAACACTCACTTTTGGCCTGTTTTTTTTATTCAACATGGCGAGACCCTTTGAAATGGTGAAGGATATCAATAATACTAAAGAGATATGGAAGATTGCGGTTAGAATCCATAAAAAATGGACTGTGGAATTGTTACACCTTAATTTTGACCTTGAATCGTCGAACCATACATATCATAACATTTTCGCCATCTGTGCATCATATGTGAGGGCAAAGCCTCATATACTTGATATTCGGGTTTCAATGGTGTTAAAACTTAGTCGCATGGAAGAAGAGATGTTTGGCGTTATCTCCGCAATGCATAAGCATACCGTATTGTCGTGTTTCATTTGCTTGCACAACGCATCTCTAGTACTGCACTTAGTTGTGTTAGAATATGCGTCATTCAATTTAAAATCTCATTGGTTGTCATAGGTATCATGCAAAGTTATCAGGTCAAGTTTGTGTGTGGTGGTTTGAAATTCCATGGGAGTTTGACATAATCTTGGTCATATAATGTGTTTGCTTATTTACCAAGTGATTAGGTTGAGTCAGGTTGAGTCAGTGCTTCATGATTGAAGAATCATCAGAATTCAGTTGACTTTCAATTAGGGTTTTGGTACAATAGTAACACAGTTCGTATATCAAGTCATTTCAGTCATTGGCTATTTTGGAGATAAGCATGGATTGAATTCAAGTACTTGTGTTTGAGGATCCATATTAGGGTTTTGTGCAAAGTTCAAGTTATCTTATGGAGTCAAGTTGTAGAGCCATCAAAAGTCAATACATTTGGTCAATATTTCAAGGCATTTACAAGTCTTGATTATGTGGTTCCTATTCTTGTCATAGGACAATTCAAGCTTTCTATTCCATTCAAGACTATTTCAAGATGGAATCAGGATGTGGTGTTTAGTTTCTTATGGAAGTGATTCAAGGTTTCAAATTCCACGGCTTTCCAAATGCAAGATTCAAGTTCATGTCAATTCATAATCTCATTCCAAATTTTCAAATTCCCAAATTCAGAATCTAGTCCCAATTTCCAATCAAGATTCAAGAATCATAACCATGTTCAAATTCCATTCAAAATTCAAGTTGCAATTCATGACCAAGCTTTAATTCCCAACTCACGACAAATTTCCAAATTTCATCCAAGATTCACATTTGAAGTTCATCTCAAAGTTTCAAGTCATAACCAAATTTCAAGATTCAAATTGGTCTGG